TCATTGAACGGTAGGAGGAGGACAAATAAAGATTAATTTACATTTTAGTCAAACAACTAGTTGGTTGATTGATATCAGTTACAGTCATAGGGGCGGAGAGGAAGTGGGTAGCAGAGACGGGGTGGCGGGGGGATATTTGCTTTAAAAGATATTTTTTAAATGTATTTATGACAAATAAAGAAAAGGAAAATAATAAGAAAGAATAAAAGATTAAGAATATTGGGAAAAGGGAGATAATAAAAAAAATAGAGATTAAGAATGTTGGGGAAAGGAAAATAATAAAAATAAAAAAGGATTAAGAATATTGGGACATGAAAATAATAAAAAAGAATAAAAGATTAAAATATTGGGAAAAGGGAAGATAATAAAAAAGAATAAAAGATTAAGAATATTGGGAAAAGGGAAGATAATAAACCAGAATAAAGGATGATTAAGAATGTTGCCCTCCATCCTACCATCCTACCATCCTACCATCCTACCATCCTACCATCCTACCATCCTACCATCCTACCATCCTACCATCCTACCATCCTACCATCCTGCCATCCTACCTGTCAAAAATGTTAAATTTTATGTAATGTCTGTATTTTTGTTTCTATATAAGGATGTTTGTATATTGATTGTATGCATATACTAGCCGTATAAAATCAATTTCACAAATGCACACTATTTGGATAAGAAACAATCTTTCAATTATTGCCGTAAAAACCGTCATTTCCCCGATAAATGTAGCAACATTTCACGGCTTACTGAACACACCGGATATTTTCTGGCAGAATGAGAAAGAAGGATAAAATATGATGACAATTATTGGTAAAACTTTTCGCCTAATTTACTAATCCACCCATTCTTCGGATTAGAGTGCACTGCAGGGTGTCGAGGATTAAATGGTGTCAAAATTACATATTTCATTAAATAAATACTATCCAATATTAATTGAATAATCGAACTTCCATTTTTTATTTTAATCTGAAAAATAAAACTAAATACAGTATTTTTCATGTGGCCATTATTTGTGTGTTCCCCCTTTATCTTGTTTACAAACTGATAAATTGCCGGAAGGAAATCCACCGTCTGTTGTATTCTTTACTCTTCATGAGTCCTATACATACAGGGTGTCCCGGGATATACACCGTACATACTCCTATACATACAGGGTGTCCCAGGATATACACCCTTCATACTCCTACACATACAGGGTGTCCCGAGATATACACCCTTCATACTACTATACATACAGGGTGTCCCAGGATATACACCCTTCATACTCCTATACATACAGGGTGTCCCGGGATATACACACTTCATATATATACGCATAAATTTATAACTGTATAAATGTATAAATGTATAAATGAATAAATGTATAAATGCATAAAAGTATGAATATATAAATGCATAAATGTATAAATGTAAAAATGGATAAATGTAAAATTGTAAAAATGGATCATTGAACTTATTTTACTTTCTTCGTCATATAAACTTGCGTCCGTCTTTGTTATTCAATATCCTCCCCCTCTATCTTCACCTTAGGAATAAGCATTATTGTCTCTCCCCCGTCGTTCTATCTTCTCCCTAGGAATAAGCATTATTATCCCCCCCCTTCGTTCTATCTTAACTCTAGGAGTTCACAAATAGGATGGAAAAGGGGACTCTGTACCTCAAATTATGAATAAATACAGGGTTACCAACAAAGGATGAGACTTCAAGGATGGACTTATCGGAACTCAATACTTTTTCTTAATTCTTACATTCGTGGTCTCCTGAAATTGTAAACTTGTTTCTTTAATCGCCAAATTGAGAATATAGATTTAGAACTATATATTCAGAAATTTATATCTTTAGAGTTGACTTACAGATCATCATTAAAGTCTTATCCGACTTTGTACTTTAATGTTTGGTCTGCAGATTGCTATTAAAAAGAAGGTTAAATGTAACATGTAAAATGATCAAGACTGCTGTGAAAGGTTTCATTAATATTCAAGGACTAGTTCGATTTTTAAATATCGTAATGCTTTGATTTTGCTTAATTTGTAGGCCTAGACATTTTAGAGCCATAAAGTCTTGTTTTAGTTTTAGTCATCAAGAACTATTTGGAAAAAATCTCAACTTGTTTTTTTGCATGAGAGGTTTTTTTGCATGAGAACTTGCAACCTCTGAATCATTGTAGTAACTTGGTAAGGCCTTATTTACTCTGGGAGGTGAACAATTCTGAAAGTTATTCATAAAGTTTAAGACATATCGTCAAGCTGTTTGAGCGAAACGCGTTGGCCACGGGTCTTACCTCGCCAAATCACTAATAATTGAAACGCACTCGAGTACAATTGTAAAATTACTGTTCGATTTTTGAGTGAGAGCGAGCACATCTTGGTTTACAGTGTTTAAAGAAGGAAATAAGTAAGGGAGGAAGTAAGAAATAAAAGTGGGAAGGGATGATGGGGAACAGTAGAGAACTATGAGGGGAAGATATGGGAAGGAGAAAGCATGAAGGTCCGGTGGAAAGGTAGGAGAACAAGGAGGATGAATTAGTCCCGAAAAT